AAGAAAAGGTAAAGTTAAATCACAATCTCTTCTGGAGGCAATTTTAAAAAGCAAAACTACTTGAGTCTGCAGGGCTGCTCCAAAGAAATGGCTAGCTTTTTCTGGCGTAAAGTTGGATGAAGATGTATTACGGCCCATACTCTGAAGGAGGAAGGTAAAAGAGATAGCAAAGACAAACATAAAGGAAAAAAACATGGAGATTACCTCCTGGTAAATGAAAGGTTTTGCTCCTGCAGAAAACCATTTCGTATTTAGATCTTTCAGCTTGTCTAAAATTGCCTTCAGATCCCCAGGCCACATATGCTTGGCAGCATCAATTCGGAAGCCTGCTACGCCGATATCAATGAGGTAGTTCATGTACTCGGCAACTTTTGAGCGTACGTAGTCCTTCTCTAGGGCCAGATCAAGAAGGCTAACCAAGCGACAGTCACGGACCTATATAAAAATTCTGAAATGAAACATTTTTCACCTAATAAACTAAATGTAGTTTTCTACATACATTTTTAATTTTGTTACCTACATGACAATGCCAAGTAAAACCTTCACTAGCCACTGTTCACCATGCATATCCTTGCCTTGGACAGTTATCTTGCACCGTCATCTACACAGAAGGTGTATTAAGAAGTCTGCATTCACCCAGCTTAGACAGCTGTAGGTGCTGAAGGATTATAACAGAGCATCAAACCATTAAATCTATAATCAGCTTTTTAATGAAAGTATAGGGCAAGAATATGATAAATTATTTTTACTACAGTGTATTAAGGAACAGATTCATTACTATTTCAAGTGCACGCGTTTGTTCTCTGATGTAGAAAAGGTTTCTAGAAATTACATTTCTAAATCTTTTAAAGATCTTGAGTTATTATAGCCTTACAAAACATTAAACTCCTAGTTTTGGTCCGCTTTTTGTCTTTGTTTCCAGTAAATTGAAAATTGATGGGCATCAATTTTCATCAAAAGAATACTTTAAACATACACTGAATATACTGAAGTGCTTTTTTTAATAAATCTCACGATGGGTTTCCATGGCTATCTGCCTGGAGAGAGCAAGGTGCATCAGCCTGTGTTGCAAACTGTACTAAAGGATTGGCTATAAAGATGCTCCTTTAGAACTGCTCAAGAATTCAGGGACATTTAAAGTCTCCCCTTCTGTCATTTCTCCAAAACCCATCTCCCCTCAACTCAGATTCAGGAAAGATCAAATGCATTTGAAAGGCATAAGACATTATTCAAGAAAGATAGGTATTTTTCTTTATAAAATAATTTTTCATTCTGTGGTAGTTTTAAAGTCCTGACCTCGTAATCTGATACAGAGGAACAGACAGACTCCTAGGAAGAGAAATCTCTAAACAGAAGGTTGATTTTCAAGATTTTAGCATTACTATTCTTCTTTATGAAATTCTAACCTCTATCTTCTGAAATGGAGACCAAAGAAAACTTCCACATTACAATAAAAGGCAAGTAATAACTCCTACTTTTTCTTTTAAACACAAAAAACCCAACACAAGATAATCCCTAAATAGATTTTATGAGCTTTAAAACTGTCTTTACAAAGTATCTAAGCACATTTGTCTAAATCTGAAATTGAGCCATTGGCTCAAGTAGAGCTATCCCTTTAAGAAGTGGTGTTCCTGATAGCAACACTAACCTCTATTATCAATTTGGATGGTTTTCCATGAGGGTTTTTGTTTTGTTTTGTTCTTTAAAAATGTCTGACAGTAAAGGGGAGCAAAGAATCCACAGCCCAGGAATGGATGTACATGAAAAATATATTTATAATTCTAGGTTTACCTGAGATATATCATGATAGTTCTCAATGTCTCCACTTCTAGATTTACATTTACCATCATTGAAGTCCCAGCCAGAATATGGCACAGCTGGAAAATCCTCAGTCTTTGCATTGAAGTAGCTTCCACAAGTAGCATGGTTGCCAGCACCAGCATTAGTTCCGCACATATGGTTGATTACTGCATCCACATAAATATGTACCTAGAGAATAGTATTCACATTTCAATTTGAGAAAGCTACTTCCCAAGGCACCACTAATTAACGTTCTCTCTCTTACCTCCTGCCCTATGCCCCCTCTTTCTGCTTGCTTGCTTCTGCCAACATTTTATTTAAAATATTTCTCTTTTATTAATATACAGCAATGGTGATACAACATCCATCTCAACAGATAGGCAGATAACATTGCACCTATTTTTAAAAAGGGTAGAAAAAAGGAACCTGGGAACTGCTGACCTGTCAGCCTCACCTCTGTGCCTGGGAAGATCATGGAACAAAACCTCCTAGAAGCTATGCTAAAACACATGAAGGACAGGAAGGTGATTTGAGAAAGCCAGCATGACTTCACCAAGGGCAAGTCCTGCCTGACCAACCTAGTGGCCTTCTATGATGGAGTGACTACATCAGTGGACAAGGGAAGAGCTATGGTTGTCATCTACCTGGACCTCTGTAAGGCCTTTGACACGGTCCCCCCACAACATCTCTCTAGATTGGAGCGAGAAGCATTTGATGGGTGGACTGTTCGATGGATGAGGTATTGGTTGAATGTCACATCCAGAGGGTAGTGGTCAAAGGCTCAATGTCCGGATGGAGGTCAGTGACAACTGGTGTTCCTCAGGGGTCTGTATTGGGACCAGTACTGTTTAATACCTTCATCAACGACATAGTGGGATCGAGCGCACCCTCAACAAGTTTGCAGATGACACCAAGCTGAGTGCTGTGATTGACACACCTGAGGGACAGGATGCCATCCAGAGGGACCTGGACAAGCTTGAGAAGTGGGCCCATGTGAACCTCATGAGGTGCAACAAGGCCAAGTGCAAGGTCCTGCACCTGGGTTGGGGCAATCGCCAGTGTCAATACAGACTGGGGGATGAAGGGATTGAGAGCAGCCCTGTGGAGGACGACTCGGGGGTACTGGTGGATAAAAAGCTGGACATGAGCAGGCATGTGTGATCACAGCCCAGAAGGCCCACCATGTCCTGGGCTGCATCAAAAGAAGTGTGGCCAGCAAGTCGAGGGCAGTGACTCTCCCCCTCTACTCCGCTCTGGTGAGACCCCACCTGGAGTACTGCACTCAGCTCCGGAGTCCTCAGCACAGGAAAGACATGGACTTGTTGGAGCGGGTCCAGAGGAGGGCCACAAAAATGATCAGAGGGTTGGAGCACCTCTGCTATGAAGAAAGACTGAGAGAGTTGGGGTTGTTCAGCCTGGAGAAGAGAAGGCTCCAGGAAGATGTTATTGCAGCCTTTCAGTACTTAAAGGAGGCCTATAAGAAAGATGGGGACAAACTTTTTAGCAGGGCCTGTTGCGGTAGCGCAAGGGGTAATAGTTTTAAACTAAAAGAGGGCAGATTTAGACTAGATATAAGGAAGAAATTTTTTACAATGAGGGTGGCAAAACACAGGAACAGGTTGCCCAGAGAGGTGGTAGATGCCCCGTCCCTGGAAACATTCAAGGCTGAGTTGGATGGGGCTCTGAGCAGCCTGATCTAGTTGAAGATATCCCTGCTCACTGCAGGGGGTTGGAAGAGATGACCGTTAAAGGTCCCTTCCAACCCAAACTATTCTATGATTCTATGAAAAAACCCTCACCTTCACTTCAGTGCTACCATGTCTTCGCTTTTAAATTACTGGTTGTCTATATCCTTGCATTGTTAACACCAGAAGGTTTTCAAACCACTTACTCCAACATTGTTGCACCTGGTCACCATGTCTCTAAATTCAGTTTCATTTCCAGATCGCGAGCACAGCTTGTAGCTGATGGGCTGGTATCTTTCCCACCATGGTTGCCAGGGGTCAGTAACAATAACATTTTCATTTGGAGGTGAAATCTGTGAATAAGATGGTGTCTCTTGGTAACAGGATACTGATAATGGTTTATTTGTTTGCCCAGTATTGTTAGAGAAAGTATATAAAAATAGAAAATCAGGTCCGTTTAATGGAAGACACAATACCTAACCCATGTAGATTCTCAGTATCCTCTGCCTACACTGTACCAGGCTGAAAATAAAAGACTTAGGCCTGTATCTTCAGTGGGTAGAAACATACTATAAAAATTATGTCCATGGACATAGTGTCCTAATTATCTTCGTGAATGCAGGCCTCAAAGATCAAAAGAAGGGTCTGAAATCTGAAGGACTAGGTCAGTAGAGATAGACCTGAATCAGGGAGGAAGTGACTGCAGAACAACTGACATAACATCCTGCCCTTAAAATTGATCTTAACTTCCCATTTCCGTAATGTTTTGCATAAAAGTGTTCTTGACGTGAGACTTGTCATAGTTTCCAGATAAGCTATACCTCTTCCTTTTATAGACTCTTTCCAGGATACTTTTAAGGCAACAAGCTTTTGCTGCTACCTCCAAGTCTCTGGGCATAACCACCTAGTCCCACCATTTCTCACAAAGATTCCTAGGCTGCAGCCTACTTAGCTGCCATGCCTTTGTGACCAGCTCAGCAAGTCTGCATCTGAAAAAACTTTCTGAGACCCTGTCACAGCATGGATTAAAAAGATATCCAAGTGTATACCATAGTCTGAGAAATCAGTTTAAAATCAATCAGGCCTGTGCCTTGAAAGAAGGCTGCAAAGAAAAGATGTGGTATTTGAAAATTATGGGAAAGTTCTCACTGAGGCCAACTTGCAGACTCCTGGGTTACAAGAGATAGGCAGACTTCTCTCGCCAATTTTTCCTGAGCAATCTGACAAACAAACTGAAATAGTTTAATAGGTGACTGCTCTCCAGCCATACTACCCCACCCATCTGATACTACTGGTTCCACAGGAACATGTGTCTGTTGTTCAGACAGAACAGATTCACATTGACACACCTCCACCAGAACCTGTGTTCATTCCATTTCTGCCTGCTCACACCAGGTTGCTGCAAAGGAGGGTCTCTTAATGGCTTACTCTGACACTAGGCTTTACAGAAAGAAACATGCCACTTTGGGTGAACACAATTAGCAGCCTTTTATATTTATTTATTTAAAACCTTCAACCCTTTGGTATTCTCTTTGAGAGCCTGTTTTCTCAGTCATAGTTTCATTTTATGTTTATCCAGCTCTTAAGAGCTTCCCTTGATTTAAATAATATCAAGCAGATAAACGTAGGTTACTCTTCACAGCAGTAAAAAAAAAGATTAACCAGTGATATGCAATTCTAATTCATCAAAATGTAATAGCACAGAGTGCAAAAGATGCACTTTGGAGCAATGAAATAAATTCACGCTTACATGATGATGGCTGAAGAATATATTTGTCAGCATTTACTACTTCCATTACCCATTTCTATTTTTCTTTCTCAGTACCTGTCCTTTGGTGAATTGAACATTTTCTCTGAAAAACAAATTATCATCTATGTAGCAATTTTACTACCTACTGATAGGAACAGACATACCTGAACTCCTCCAAATCCATTAGGAGCTAAATAGCGTTCACACTCAAGAGCAATATCCACCCAGCGCCATTCAAAGAGATGTACAATAGACGTCCTCCCAGCCTGAGTATTGGGGTTGTACTGTGCCCAGCAAACCCCTACAATTAACAGAAGAAAATAGATACCCATCCTGTGCTCTGTGGTCCGTTGCACTCTTCTTACTGCCTATTTATGCTCCTGCAAGAGAGTGAAGTACACATTACGAAATACACATTTAAAAGTAAATGCCTGTCATGGTTTAAGCCCAGCCAGCAACTAGGCACCACGCAGCCGCTTGCTCACTCCCACTCACAGTGGGATGGGGAGAAAAATCAGAAGAAACCTAAAACTCATGGGTTGAGATAAAAACAATTTAGTAACTAAAGTAAAATAAAATATAATACTAACAATAATAACTGTAACATAAAGGTATATAATAATAAAACCAAACCAAACCCAAGAAAAGACAAAGTGATGCACAATGCTGACCAATGCCCACGCAGCGATTGGCCCCTCCTGGCCAACTCCCCCCAGTTTATATACTGAGCGTGGCATCCTATGGTGTGGAATATCCCTTTGGGTAGTTCAGGTCAGCTGTCCTGACTGTGCTCCCCCCCAGCTTCTTGTGCACCTGCTTGCTGGCAGAGCATGCGAAACTGAAAAATCCTTAACTTAGGATCTAAGCGCTACTTCGCAACAACTAAAGTGTCAGTGCGTTGTCAACATTGTTCTCACACTAAATCCGAAACACAACACTATACCAGCTATACCAGGAAGAAAATTAACTCCAACCCAGCTGAAACCAGGACCATGCCCATCTCTGGCATCCTATTTATTTAACTATACTTGACTGTCATTTTGTTTGAGAATTGTATTCTAGCTAAGCTATATCAACCTCCCATATTAATGGTAACTTTGTTCTTCCAAAGTTAAAATTCAGATATTGTCTAATACTGGCCATCTCTGGTGTGCAAAAGTTGTATTTTTGTTAATATAAGGCCAAAAAACAACCCCAAAAGGCAAAGGAGTACTTACATAGACTGAAATGGGCATTTCATTTCCCATTTTAATGTATAATATTTTACATTCCTATTTATCTTTGAAAGGCCTCTTTTTTTTCAATCTGGTTACTATGACTTGTGCATACTTAGACAAGGCCTTGGACAAGCAGTATGTTCCTTATCGTGAGTTGCCATGAAACCCCAGATATTTTGGAGGTCTAACATATGCGAGTCTGTCGTTTGTGATATGCATGACATCTAACATGCAAACAGCAGCCCTAATCTTGGAAGATCTCTCAGATACAGAAGGGACTATACTGACTCAAAACCAGAAATGCTGTTTAATCTCTGCACACCTGCACAATTTGTGTGGAGATATTCTTCTCCCAGAGAACACAGCACAATGGCATGCAGAGGTTAGAAGTGCTGTGAAGCTCCATAACCAAGAAGTCTCCTTCTCAGTGCCCAGGCACAGAGTTCTACAAGTGCACTGAAGCTTTCCAGAGGAAGAAAACCAGCTGCATTACCTTCTGATAAGCTAGGCTAAGAACTATACTTCCCAATTCATATTGTATTTCTGTTTACTTATATACGAACACAGCTGACAAGCCTATTAAAATTGCCTTTCCCTTTTCTCATCTAAAGATTGATACAACTTAAAACAAACCAGAAGTTAAACAACTATCAAGGTTTATGTTACACTATTTAGGATCTCATTTTGCACTCTTCAGGTTCAGAAGTTGATTTAGAGAGTCTGAGATATAGAGGAGTCCTACAAGGAGATCTTCTGCAAACAAAAGGCTGAACTACTACTTCCTTTAAATAACAAAACATGGAATCTTGTTACTTTCCTCTAAGTATCTATTCTTTTTAAAAAGCTATCTTAACACTGAAACAACACAGGGCAAAGATGGAATAAGGGGATTCCTGGGTGCTGTCATAGGGGACACCAAACACTTCAGTGAAGGTTTAAACATGAACACAAGGGCCTTCAGGTTTGCTGCGTGAAAAAAACCTGCTCTCTTTCCTGATTTAATACACATTTGGGAATGCACAGCCAAAAACTCCAACCTGCTATGATACCGATACCCAAACAAAAGTTTATATAAAATCTTACGTTACTTCTACAAAACGACCCTCATTTTTATTTCAAGGAAAGGATGATCCATATCTCTCAGTGAGGGTAGCTGCACTCTTTGGAGCAAATTCAAGCACAAAATATGCCAGTTTATGAAATGTATAACCTGCCTTCCAGAGCCTGTTGCTATCACCTGTCACTGTACTTCACAGGCAGCCAGTTATTTAGAATGAATCACTCGGTAAATTTAGCTTGTTTTTCTGCTTGTGAACAAAATAATTTTAATGAAATTATTTATTTGTAGATCTTTGGTAGAGCACACAGCTAAATTTCAGCCGTAAGCAGTGTGTGCTTCCATTTTCATGAAAGAAAGCTTCTTTGCCCTGACAGGAAGAACATACATTAACAGAAAACGAGCTGAGACAGTTCGATCTTCTCTGATGAGAAGCCATTTATCAGATAGGCAATTTTTAGTTACAGCAGTAAGTACACAAAGCAGTAAATTACATGAAGCAGTAAGAACAATATATTTTGACTCAACCAGCTCCAAGGTGTAGCGCTTGAAGAGAAAATACAGTTTTTCATTTCTTTGAAATAGGTTTACGGCTGCTCTGGCTTCAGTATAAGTATTGGTAAGAGAATGGAGATGTTGAAATCCCCAACACACTCCGAAGGCTTTAGCTTCAAAATGCTTTTGAAACTTGGAAGAAAAGTAAGAGGCCTGTATTCCCCTATGGGAGAAAAGAGAGCACAACTGATTGCAATTCAAAGAACGTGGGAGAGAACTGTTTCTGAGGAACGCTATTGCT